ATACACATGATACACATGATACACATAATACACATAATACACAAGATATACATAATACACATAATACACATAATACACATGATACACATGATATATATGCTACATTTGATACACATGATATACATGATACACATGGTACACATGGTACACATGATACACATGATACACATGATACACATGGTACACATGGTACACATGGATATGCTTTTTCATTTCTTTGTGTAGCACGGTACACGTTTACAGGCTCAAATTTTCTGCGAAACACAACATGTTGTATATGTGACCATACTGGAATTTCGTAAATACATGTATGCAGGTACTTTCGTTTTGTATTCACATAGCATGAGTGTACGAAAAGTTGGCAATCTGTCAGGTTATCGACGGCTCTACTGTAGTTCAGACAGGCTGTGTCCAATAGTATTCTCTCAACTACTTTGGGAAACTTCCGAAACGCCCGAATACATGTTGGGAGGAAATTTCCAGCAATTATCAACAAACAAGCGTGCTTTTGTTGACAAAAATTACCTGACGTATATACACATTTGTTGTGGCCAATGTAAACATTCTGAGAAACGGAGAAGATACCTCATTGTTGTCTGGTATAGTGACGTCAACACTAAAGGAACATTTACGGATTCAAAAGGATCGTGTAGATTTCTGTGGCGAATTATAAATAAACCATCACCATGGATATATTGAAATATAACCCTTTATAAATAATGTTGGATGATAGTGCCTTTCATCTGTGACGTCATTATTCGGACTATACAGACTTTTTAAAATACCATCGTTGTACTTAATAAAGTCGAGGATATTCGGCTGACCACTAACTGATACGATGTTTGCCGGAGAAGAGGTGCGTCTGAGTTCGCCTAACACTGAATTCCAAGAAATCAACAATTCTCGATTACAACAGGATGATGAATTACTGCTGGCGCTTAGTGATGAGAAGATCAAATCGGATCTTCGTGAGAAAATCCGAAAAAGACGCCATTCTGAAGGACTAGGAGACCTCGAGGTGAAGTTTTATAAACCGAAGGAATATGAAGTAAGTAACTCCATACTAGAACTTCGTTGATATGAGTTAACTCCGTACTGCAGTTTGTTATTACGAACTAATTTCGTACTAGAACCTCGTTAATATGAAGTAACACGGTACTAAAACTTCGTTAATACGAAGTAAATCCGTACTACATACTCGTTTATATGCGTGGTAAGTTACTCTATACATCAGGTAATACGTGGTAAGTTACTCTGTATATCAGGTAATACGTGGTAAGTTACTCTGTATATCAGGTAATACGTGGTAAGTTTCTATGTACATCAGGTAATGCGTGGTAAGTTATTCTGTATATCAGGTAATACGTGGTAAGTTCTCTGTATATCAGGTAATACGTGGTAAGTTACTCTGTACATCAGGTAATACGTGGTAAGTTACTCTGTATATCAGGTAATACGTTGTAAGTTACTCTGTATATCAGGTAATACGTGGTAAGTTACTCTGTACATCAGGTAATACGTGGTATGTTACTCCGTACATCAGGTAATACGTGGTATGTAACTCAATACATCAGGTAATACGTGGTAAGTTAATCTGTACATCATGTAATACGTGGCAAATTACTCTGTACATCAGGAAATGCGTGGTAAGTTACTCTGTATATCAGGTAATACGTGGTATTTTACTCCGTACATCAGGGAATACGTGATATGTAACTCTGTACATCAGGTAATACGTTGTAAGTTAATCTGTACATCAGGTAATACGTGGTATGTTACTCCGTACATCAGGTAATACGTGATATGTAACTCTGTACATCAGTTAATACGTGGTAAGTTACTCTGTACATCAGGTAAAACGTGTAAAGTTACTCTGTACATCAGTTAATACGTGGTAAGTTACTCTGTATATCAGGTAATACGTGATAAGTTACTCCGAACATCAGGTAATAGGTGGTATGTAACTCCGTACATCAGGTAATACGTGGTAAGTTACTCCGTACATCAGGTAATACGTGGTAAGTTAATCTGTACATCATGTAATACGTGGTAAATTAGTCTCTACATCAGGTAATGCGTTGTAAGTTACTCTGTACATCAGGTAATACGTGGTATGTTACTCCGTACATCAGGTAATACGTGGTATGTAACTCCGTACATCAGGTAATACGTGGTATGTAACTCCGTACATCAGGTAATACGTGGTAAGTTACTCTGTACATCAGGTAATACGTGTAAAGTTACTCTGTACATCAGTTAGTACGTGGTAAGTTACTCTGTATATCAGGTAATACGTGGTAAGTTACTCTGTACATCAGATAATACGTGTAAAGTTACTCTGTACATCAGTTAATACGTGGTAAGTTACTATGTATATCAGGTAATACGTGGTAAGTTACTCGGTACATCAGGTAATACGTGGTATGTAAATCCGTACATCAGGTAATACGTGGTAAGTTACTCTGTACATCATGTAATACGTGGTAAATTACTTTGTACATCAGGTTGTAGAAAATAATCAACAGAAAAAATGGTTGCCATGTTATGTAAACAATGTAGTAGTTGACATTAAACCTTGTTTACAGTAGAAATAAAGTATTTTTTCACTGTTAGTGAGATTTTTTTCTGATTGGAACACATCATTGAGAAGTCGTTGACATGTTTTGCAGATGAGACCAGAGGAAAAAATGAAAAGTGAGTCAAGGAAAGCACGGAACAGAAGATCGGCACGAGTAAGTCGTGATAAAAGGAAAAGACAAGAGGAAGAACTGAACAAGGTAAGTGCTGAAACAACAGATATTTCTGATTTTTTAATCTAATTCACCATCCTGCATTTATCTCAACATCTGATTTACTATGCCACGTTTATCTCAACTTCAAATATATCTTGATTTCTGATATATCATACTGCATTTATCTCGACTTCTGGTTTACCTTTTATCTCGACTTCGAATTAATCATACAACATTATCTCGACTTCTGATTTACCATACCCAATTTATCTCTAGTTTTGACTTCAATGCCACCTTTAATTTCATGTCTGATTAACGATATTACATCTTAAATATAACTGCAATCAGAACACAATGGGGCCCATCCAAGTGATACTTTATATTTTTCTTACGTTTTTCGTGTATTAGCTATAAATGCTTATTCATGATCATCATAATTTACTAACCTTCCACTGGTATCGGGATAATCGGAAGTTATGTGACGTTTGGCTTATTTTCGGTGTGTATGCAAATTTAACTTCCAGTGTGTATTCCATATATGCAAAGCCTAATTTCCGGTGTGTTTGCAAGAATCTAGCCTCCAGTATGTAAGCTATAGCTAGGTTTTGACTTCCGGTGTTTATACAAAGCTGAACTTCCGGTTTGTATAAGACTACAGTTTCCCAGTGTCTTGTATGATTTACCTGTCTTTAACAGGAATGTTGATTTCAAGTTAAACCATAAATACAAATTAATGACATTTTTTCTTTATTAATATTAACAAACGGATTATCTAGAAACGATTGAATTTTGAATAAGATAAAATAAGATAATATGTTTTACCCCCTCTCTCTCTCTGTTGTACAACTGTTACGCAATCGAAGATTTTGATGTTTTCTTTGTTATCATTAGGTAAACAATATCGGCCCTTAACTTTGTTGACAACGGCCTGGCAAACGGCCCATTTACAAACGACTTCGCTTTCATTGAAATTTAAGTCGACTGACATTATGGTTGCATTACTGTTTAAATACGTAGGGGAGCAATTCATGCTGAAGAGGGTATTGATAGTAGTCTTACCTCCACTTTCACCCACATGGACCACGCTATATTACTGATAGAGGATTTACCTAACTCGTGAAGCACACATTATAAATATATATATTTAGCAACAGCCAAACAGTACATAGTGGGGCCCGACCAGTTTTACCAGCAGTCGTGAATGGCGGTGTAACAATATTTTTGTGGACTTGCATGGTGAATTACTATTTTAATACCCTAAAGCAGAATTTAAAAATCCATAGAAAGACCTTGACTTTTTAAAACTGTCCATGTAGTGCTATTGATGTCTACTGGGACGTCACTAGAACGAGTCCGGACACAGTTTTACCGTACAATGTACCGTAATTATCATCGTTTGCTTTCTAGGAGATAAAGGACCTGGAAGAGGAAAATCAGAAGCGGAAAAACTATGTCATTAACCTCCAAAACTTTGAAAAAAAGCTGCGCCTGAGGTTTGCTGATCATCTCATCCGATGCAAGTCGGCGGAAGTGACGCACCTCCGCCAAGCCGTCAGAAATAACAATTTACAAAACTCGATTCCAGGCACGGTGATTGTTGGACAGACCGTTAACTACACATGAACGTTGGTATTAGGAACTATACGTGATTATGATTCTACCATCATCATCGTGGCTTCTTCAATGCTTGTCATGTGTGTACCTACCATCACAGCTTGACTTGTTGGTTGTCGTTTGTAACACGTGTAATATACCATCAGTCATGTGTGTACCTACCATCACAGCTTGACTTGTTGGTTGTCGTTTGTAACACGTGTAATATACCATCAGTCATGTGTGTACCTACCATCACAGCTTGACTTGTTGGTTGTCGTTTGTAACACGTGTAATATACCATCAGTCATGTGTGTACCTTATATCACAGCTTGACTTGTTGGTTGTCGTTTGTAACACGTGTTATATACAATCAGTCATGTGTGACAACAATCTTCTACCTCTATTTGATCTATGAAAACAATAAACCGTATAGTTCATTTCAACTATACGTACATCACATCGATGAGTTCGTGGGCCTGAGTTCGACTTCCCGCGTTCTACTGATTAGTTCGCTCCTGTTAACCGAGACATTCGCATAAAGAAGATACCATTACACTCGAAGTGTACGTGTGGAACCTCGGTTTGTACGTGTGGACACTCGGTGTGTACGTGTTGACATTCGATGTGAACATTCGGTGTGTACGTGTTGACACTCGGTGTGTACGTGTGGACACTCGGTGTTTTCGTGTGGACAATCAGTGTGTACGTGTGGACACTCGCTGTGTACGTGTTGACACTCGGTGTGTTCGTGTGGACACTCAGTGTGTACGTGTGGACACTCGGTGTTTTCGTGTGGACAATTAGTGTGTACGTGTGGACACTCGCTGTGTACGTGTGGACACTCGGTGTGTACGTGTGGACATTCGGTGTGTACATTCGGTGTGTACCTGTTGACACTCGGTGTTTACGTGTGGACACTCGGTGTGTACAAGTTGACGCTCGGTGTTTACGTGTGGACACTCGGTGTGTACAAGTAGACACTCGGTGTGTACGTATGGACACTATGTGTTTACGTGTGGACACTATGTGTGTACGTTTTGACATTTGGTGTGGGGTGTGGACACTCGCTATGTACGTGTGGACACTCGGTGTTTACGTGTGGACACTCGGTGTGTACAAGTTGACACTCGGTGTTTACGTGTGGACACTCGGTGTGTACAAGTAGACACTCGGTGTGTACGTATGGACACTATGTGTTTACGTGTGGACACTATGTGTGTACGTTTTGACATTTGGTGTGTGGTGTGGACACTCGGTGTGTACGTGTGGACACTTTGTGTGTACGTGTTGACACTTTGTGTGTACGTGTTGACACATCTTCCTTGGCTGATTTGGTAATACAAATAACGTGCCCGGGCCGATTGTATTACATAAATACGCTTCTGTAGTATACCATTGGGATCAGTCAGCTATAAATAGGAGTAGAGTCTTCTACGAACGCAGCTATTAACAGACGGGGGGAAAACCTATTCTTGTCTAAATGTAGTAACTTGACAAATATAGACTTAGATAGCAATCTAATGTAATTCCGTGTTTTTTAGTGATCATATATTGATAGCAGCTTTTTAAACATGAATTTTCACAAAACGCTTCCATGGAACACGTCAAGCAGATTACCGCAAACATTTTTAGTAGGCCAGTCACTAACTATTTTTACATTAATAAAGATCTGAAGATAAAAAGTTATGTCGTAATAACGATTTAGCTACGTCTTCAAAACGACTTGATATTTCATACTATTATAATAACAGAATTCGCTAATACGACACAGCTTGATCATTATTACAACAGTATAAGCAGTTATTACGAGTGTGTGAGTCGTCCGTACGAGAGTGTGGGACCCTGACATTGTGGTACGGGAATCCAGACAGTGTGGTACGGGGATCCTGAGAGTGTGGTACAAGGATCCTAACAGTGTGGTACAGAGATCCTGACAGTGTGGTACGGAGACCCTGACAGTGTTGTACGGGAATCCAGACAGTGTGGTACGGGAATCCAGACAGTGTGGTACGGGCACCCTGACAGTGTAGTATGGGGATCTTGACAGTGTGGTACGGGGATCCTGACAGTGTGGTACGGGGATCCTGACTGTGTGGTACGGGGATCCTGACAGTGTGGTAAGAGGATCCTGACAGTGTGGTACGGGCACCCTGACAGTGTAGTATGGGGATCTTGACAGTGTAATACGGGAACCCTGATAGTGTTGCATGGGGATCGTGACAGTGTGGTACGGGGATCGTGACAGTGTGGTACGGGGATCCTGACAGTGTGGTACGGGGATCCTGACAGTGTGGTAAGAGGATCCTGACAGTGTGGTACGGGCACCCTGACAGTGTAGTATGGGGACCCTGATAGTGTGGTACGGGGACCAACGGGGATCCTGACCGTGTGGTACGGGGACCCTGATAGTGTGGTTAGGGGATCCTGACAGTGTGGTATGGGGATCCTGATAGTGTGGTACGGGGATCCTGATAGTGTGGTACGGATACCCTGATAGTGTGGTACGGGGACCCTGATAATGTGGTACGGGGACCCTGATAGTGTGGTACGGGGACCAACGGGGATCCTGACAGTGTGGTACGGGGCCCCTGATAGTGTGGTTAGGGGATCCTGACAGTGAGGTATGGGGATCCTGACAGTGTGGTACGGGGACCCTGACAGTGTGGTACGGGGATCCTGACAGTGTGGTACGGGGATCCTGACAGTGTGGTACGCGAACCCTGATAGTGTGGTACGCGAACCCTGATAGTGTGGTACGGATACCCTGATAGTGTGGTACGGGGACCCTGATAGTGTGGTACTGGGACCCTGATAGTGTGGTAGGGGGACCCTGATAGTGTGTTACGGGGACCAACGGGGATCCTGACAGTGTGGTACGGGCACCCTGACAGTGTAGTATGGGGATCTTGACAGTGTGGTACGGGGATCCTGATAGTGTGGTACGGGGATCCTGACAGTGTGGTACGGGGATCCTGATAGTGTGGTACGGATACCCTGATAGTGTGGTACGGGGACCAACGGGGACTGACAGTGTGGTACGGGGACCCTGATAGTGTGTGGTACGGGGACCCTGATAATGTGGTAGGGGGACCCTGATAGTGTGGTACGGGGACCAACGGGGATCCTGACAGTGTGGTACGGGGACCCTGATAGTGTGGTACGGGGACCATGATAGTGTGGTACGGGGATCCTGACAGTGTGGTACGGATACCCTGATAGTGTAGTACAGGGACCCTGATAGTGTGGGACAGGGACCCTGACAGTGTGGTACGGGGACCCTGATAGTGTGGTACGGGGACCCTGACAGTGTGGTACGGGGACCCTGATAGTGTGGTACGGGGACCATGATGGTGTGATACGGGGATCCTGACATTGTGGTACAAGGATTCCTGACAATGTGGTACGGGGATCCTGATAGTGTCTGTCCCCTTGATTAGCCCCTTACAACACAATTCTTATCATATTCCTGTTGTACTAATAAATGGCTGATCAAATGTACAAGTTGTTGTTTGCCTTATCAATAAATATAAATATAATAGATATACCACCCGATACAGCATTTTTGTTTTGTTTTCAATCAATTCGTTCAATTATTTGTCCCAATGTGTTTAAAATACAGATTTCGTTCAAAATTCATTTTTTTTTTAACAGGCTGATTTATAATCAATCACTTAATTTAATTAAAAATTTCAACAATGAAAGACAAACTACGCCATCATGTAAACAGCTGTAAACAGATACTGTCAACATGTCAACAGTTGCAGTCGAATACCTTCACCATATTACCAGTTGTACACAAATACTGTCAACATGTCAACAGTTGTACACGAATTCTGTCACCATGTCAACAGTTGTAGAGAAATTCTGTTACCATGTCAACAGTTGTAGAGAAATTCTGTCACCATGTCAACAGTTGTAGAGAAATTCTGTCACCATGTCAGCAGTTGTAGAGAAATTCTGTCACCATGTCAACAGTTGTACACAAATACCGTCACAATGTCAACGGTTGTACACAAATACCATCACCCTGTCAACAGTTGTACAAAAATACCGTCACTATGTAAACAGTTGTACACAAATACCGTCACCATGTCAACAATCCCTACAAAACTCTCTCAAATTATAACTCCTTCACTACAACACCACCATCAAAGTCTCTCACACTATAACACCACAACCAAACTATCACACTATAACACCACCAAACCCTCACACTATAAAACCACCTAACACTCGCACTATAACACCACCAAACACTCACACTATAACACCACCAAACTATTAAACTATCACACCACCACACACTCACACTATAACACCAACAAACACTCACACCATAACACCACCAAACCTTCACACTATAACACCACCAAACTCTCACACTACGTCATCATGTAAACAGCTGTAAACAGATACTGTCAACATGTCAACAGTTGCAGTCGAATACCTTCACCATATTAACAGTTGTACACAAATACTGTTACCATGTCAACAGTTGTACACAAATTCTGTCACCATGTCAACAGTTGTACACAAATTCTGTCACCATGTCAACAGTTGTAGAGAAATTCTGTCACCATGTCAATAGTTGTAGAGAAATTCTGTCACCATGTCCGCAGTTGAAGACAAATACTGTCAACATTTAACAGTTGTACACAAATACCGTCAAAATGTCAACATTTGTACACAAATACCGTCAACATTTAACATTTGTACACAAATACCGTCACAATGTCAACGGTTACACACAAATACTGTTACCATGTCAACAATTGTACACAAATACCGTCAACATTTAAAAGTTGTACACAAATACCGTCAAAATGTCAACATGTGTACACAAATTCTGTCACTATGTCAACGGTTGTTCACAAATACCGTCAACATTTAAAAGTTGTACACAAATACCGTCACAATGTCAACAGTTGTACACAAATACCGTAACAATGTCAACAGTTGTTCACAAATAACGTCAACATTTAACAGTTGTACACAAATACCGTCAAAATGTCAACATTTGTACACAAATACCGTCAACATTT